AGATTTTTGGGTTCATTGAGAACATGGTTGTTGTTCAATAATAAAATTATTCCTCAAAAATACAACTTGCCTAATAATTCTGCACTCCCTGTAAAAGAAGATGGAATTTGCTTATTAACGGTGCAATGCTCACACAGTCTGTGTGCATTAAAATGTTTAAGTGTGCAGTTGAGCTCACTGCTAAGAATATACAGTGATCAGTCACGTTAGCACCAGAGCTTGTTCTTCGGGACCTGGTAAGTTTGGAAACCAGATCAGCGTCTTTGTCTCTTTCAAAACCCTGCTGAGGAAGGTCCCAGGGTTAGACAGATACTTCCTCCTCAATAATGTTTGGCTGGTGGCACGTAACAATGCCAGAACTGCTGGCTTCTCGGCTGAGCATTGGATTTGAATATGAATAACATTTTTGTCTGCCTGTCAGTAGTTTTAATGTGGCTGATTTCAGTGTACTCTGGTTACTTAGTGTTTAATGAGTGGTCACAAAACTGAAGCAGTGGATCGTTACCTAACAGATGTTCTTTACAGTACCGATCAAACAGACTCTGCAGAGCACGAATAAGACCAGAGTGAATCGAATCCATGCTGCTCTACAGATGTGGTAATCAACCGCCAGAGATGGGCAGTAAGGTGTTACTGTAATCCGATTACTTTTTTCAAGTAATGAGTAAAGTAAGGGATTACTATTCCAAAAAAAGTAATTAGATTACTGTTCCTTTCCCGTAAGCACGCTGCGTTACTAAACCGTGACTTTTGTTTGTGAGAGGGTCTCATGACAATGAAGTACGAGAGTGCAATGTCCGTGGCTACAGTCCTGCTGAGTCTTTGATTTTATTTTTTTCTGTCTTTTACTTGCATCTATTTGAAAGAGTGAGCGTAAACACACATACTTATTTTATTTTATATGCTGGAATATGCAGAAAATAGGTTTAAATGTTAAACAAATTTCTTCCAGTCAAAGACAGCTGCATATAATTTATTTTTTGCTCGATGTAATGTGCATAAAGTTAAAAGATTAAAACTAATAAAACAAGTTTTAAAACGAGACTTTTTCATTTAATTCAATTTTATATGACGGATTAAGCAGAAAAAATGGAATTGGGCTGAAAGGTCTGTTGCTTTGTTCAGGTTGTGTATCGTGTTTTCAAAAGTTTTTAAAAGTAACTAAGTAATAAAGTAACTAATTACTTTTGAGAATAAGTAATCAGTAAAATAACAGGATTACTTCCTTGGAGAAGTAATCAGTAATTAGTAACTAATTACTTTTTTCAAGTAACTTGACCAACACTGTCAACCGCTATCTGAAATCACTGATTTAGCGTTTTCATAACTTCACAAATAACAAACGAAACTGTAAAACTCACAACTTAAATTAATCAATTTCAAGTTAAGTGAACCAGAGAGCTCTCTGACCAGTGATATAATTTGTAATTCACCAGCAGGAACCACATCCTCATTTCAGGTTTGATAGCATTTCTAGTAGATAATGGAAGATGGATTGAGAATGAATTGAAGCTGCAGTTTATGGAAGCCCTCAGAGGGGACTGGCGGCGGCTCCTGGGCAGAGCCCCGTGTACTAATGAGAAGTGAATGAACTGAAAAATGGAGGGAGGGTGGGGCACAAAAAAGAGAACCGTTTGTAGAGCCGGAGAGTGGAGTGGGGCGGGGGGTCATATATAGGGGTGTGTATCGAGGTGTGGTCGTGAAATCCAATTTATTATGTTAAACTACAAGACTCATTGTTTTGGAGACTACATCCTTAAATCTGCAATGACTATTCCTCGTTCAGAGAGGAATATATCAAACCCACAGCAACACCAGCATAGTGAAGTCTGCTCACAGACTATATAAAAGACAGACAGAGGCCCCGTGCCATCACCTTTTGATTAAAGAGGCTGTCATGAAGCCCAACAGGAGTCCACTGGCATCTTGATGTTTAGAAAATGCACTTCAAAAAACTTTATTATTAAATTTGATATTTTTTGTGCTTTTAATTATTTTTTCTATCCACCCATCAAGCAGATGACAGAAGAACTTGTGAGGGAATATAATTACTGATTTTAACAGCGTAATGTGTTACATCACTGTGTTACTGAAAAATGTCATGTTGGGAAACTTAGTGTAAAAAGTTAACATGGAATATATTACTGGTAGACGAGTAGTCTAATGTTTGTTTCTCTTGTGTAAATGCCCAGTAAATTGATCACCGGGAACACCCCTACACTCTACTAATGTTAACTAATTTCATTACATTTTCCATGTATTTTTATCACATGAGTAGAATCTAAAATGTTACATTTATTGGAATCTGATCAAATGAAACGTACTGGTTTACATTCAGTTTATACCGAGCACACAACCACCAAGAATCACCAATTATCCGAACAAGCTTTAGACTGCGGGAGGAAGCCGGAGTACCCAGAGGATCATCATCATCATCATCATCATTAAAATTAAAAAATTTAAAAAAAAATCAAGATATTTAATGTTACGCTGTAATCTCAAATACCAGCACATCACCAAACCACAGCGTTTTCTTCTGTTTGTGTGTGTCGTGATTCTCGTTGTCAGATCACTGGTCGCAGGAATCCGTCTGCTACGTCGGCCTCGTTCGTGTCTTCCTGTGCTCATTTCTGCAGCCGATTTGAGGGTGGCGCCATGTTTATTTATGCGTGAGAGCAGGCAATATGAGAAAAGTCCCACAGCAGGACTGCAGAAATGTGACAAACATGTCTAATGAAGACAATACAAGAAAAATATTCAGTGAAGAAAAAGCTTAATGAACACAAGAACCCTGAAAAACAAGGTGAAGGAGGCTGTTATCCTCACCCTCATCAGTATTACAGGAAACTCATATCTCTACATACAAACCAGTGTGGAGGTGATAAGGATCACAGATGCAAAAAGATTGTTTCTTTACTTAAGTTAAGCACCAAAATGCATTTACTGCAGAGGGGGAGGAGTAAGCTGAACATCAGGTGACAGATCTGTCCAATAAAAAATGTCAATCAAACACTTGAAGCAAACATCATATTCTGGCACACACAGGCGCAGTCTGTCAAATCTAAACAGCTTTCTAAAGCGGGCTTTAAATACAGTTTTTCCCATTGAAAGATAAAGTGTCTCACTACTACAACAAATAAGATCCCGGACAAACAAAAAGAGACACAGGAGGAGTTATTTATCCAGCCAGCAGTCTCGTCCTTGACACACTCGGGATAAATGAAAAGAGAAACCCAAAGGTTTAGCACAAAGTGTTGGGTGATTAAATATGTTCTGCCTCAAAAGAAGCAAAACTTCAATAAATGCAGCAAGTGTGAAGGTCGACTTCACAAAGGTGCTGACGGCAAAAATGCTCCACGTTGCTTTTGTAACCGGGAGAAACAAGAGCCGTGGGAGGCTAAAGTTTGAACGAAACAGGATCCTGGCACGAGTTAGCATGCTAAAGTGCTTTTTCTACATGTTGCCTTTGATTTTGAGAACAAATGTTTAATCTGTTGGGTGTCACATTTACCAGCAGGGTGTTGCAGTAATTAGCAATGCTGTCCTTCGACTGACAAACCAAACAGCAAGCTCTCTTTTGACTCGTCTTTAGATCTTTTCACAAGAAATGTGGCATCAAAGGAAAAGACGGGAATGTGTTACTCACTGAACGCAGCAATGGCCAGGATGATGGTGACCACGATGGACGCCCAGGACACCCACAGAGCCTTCTTGCGGTAACTCTGTGCTTCGTGAGGCTTCAGACGCATACTGCTCTCCAGGAGACCTGCAGACAGTGTCGCAGGGCACAGTGACCCACAGTATTCAAACAGGGTTTGGAGTTGCTTTTAAAGTGGAACTTTAATCCATTTCGAAATGTTGTGCCACATATACACTGTTACTCAGTGTAACAGTGTATATACTGTGTTACTGTTACATATTTCCCACGCGTGGGACTAATAAAGGTTATCTTATCTTACAATGAGAGCTGCTCGTGTTAGTTTTAAAACAAATGAGGTGTGTGCAAGTAATCACACTGCTCTGAACGCTCCATTTCAAACTGATTTTTGTACTCTTGGATGTCACCGAGAGAGAGACTCCTGGGTATAAACTACCTGCGACTCAAAAAAACGCTGCAATTATTCAGAAATAATTTAGTTTAAAGGAAGAATAAACTTTAACGAGAAGGAGCGAAAACGGCTTGTTTGAGACTGACTGAATTAAGGTCCAGTATAAGATTAATCTGGACTATTTTGAATTTAACTCAGTGCAAAGCTACACTAGTAGAGTCCAATCATAAAAACATAAAACTGAAAATAAGCATAACAGGACTGTCTATCACAGGGCTAACACTTACACCAATTTACCTAAAGAGAAGAGGATCCAGAGAGGACTCCCACAGACAGGTCCCAGGCAGATTGAACTCAGACCCTTCTTGCTGGGATTCAGCAGTGCTCATGATTGCACCACCAAAATAAATTATATACTGACAAAGCAACTTTTGTTTTTGTCATCATCTTATGAACTTATCTTGTGAACACTTTGACTGTGTGTGTCTGCTGTTTGGTATGAAACAGATGATGTGCAGTGGAGCTTTTTTCAAGACTGAATCGAAATATGGTGGAAAATCTAATCTGAGCCTGGAGCCTAATAAAGGGAGTTTTTCCTTCCCACTTTCACCAAAGGCGTTCCCAGAGGAGATCACCTGCTTGTTGATTTTCTCTGTATTATTGCAGACAGTATTGTAAACAGCCATGTTAGAGGCTGGAAAAGTAAAGCACCGAGTTGATAGATGCTACAAAGCCTTGCTGATAAACTGATGATGATGATATGAAACTGACTGATAAACTCATGATGATGTGTATCATGTGATCACTGATCAGTGTTCGCAGGCTAATACAATCTATCCATCTAAACAACCAAGTTTGAATTTTGTTTTGTTTTTAAAATGAATATTAGATACATAACCTCAGACATAAAGGGTACAGATAAATACTTACTTGGTGTCCTGCTGGCTGAAAGTGAAAAGGCACTGACCAAAAGATGGCTAACACAAGATCCACCAACCTTAAACAGCTGGATTAATGTAACACTAAAGATTTATAAGATGGAAAAGATTACTTTTTTTAGTGAATTTAGAGTATGAGAAATGTATAAACCCCTGGGGAAAATGGCTCTGCTATGCGGGATCCATAAGGCCAGATATCGCTGCTATCCACCATTAGAGTGGCTTAATTTGCAAAGTAACATGTACTAATGCTATTTATGCCCTCATCTGCTACTGATGGTGTTGTTACTCGAATGTCCTCTCTCTGGATGCATACAGTTACAAACTATGTCTATCTGTAAATATGTTTTGTTTTTGTTTCACACTCTTGTGAAGGAAAAAGCTGTTCTTCACTTGAAGTGATGGCACATACCCAGACTTCTATGCTCTCCTGTATATGAGTCTTAAAATTAAGATACGTGTCAAGTGATGTACATTTTATTTTATGTATAACATAAAAAAAAACCCTAATATTAAAGGATTCTCCAATAGTTATCATTCCTGGACTGTGTTGTGATCACTGAGGAGGACAGAAGCCTCAACACTGAAAGCCATTCACACAAACCAGCACCTACTCTTTTACTCCCACCAACCACTTGAACACCAACTTGGAGTGAACAGGACAAGACTCAGTTGTACACCTGCACTTAAAAGAGAAAGAACAATCTTTCGAAGATGACAATGTTCGAATTTTATGTTTGACAGAGGAGTAAAGGAGGCCATCTACACCCGCTGTGACTGAGCAGCGTAGAACAGAGGTGGTGGCTTATGCAGTCTTGAGATCCCTTCCCAGGCATTTCAATCCCCCCCTCACACCTTGCCTCAGTAGCTCACATGATGATGGGGTGATGGTGTCTCACTTAGTTGGCCCCAGTGAGAGTACTGACCCACACCTTTTTAATAACACATTGACTCACATGACACGTCACATGACCTATAGTAGGTTAAAGAGCTTTGAGATCACTTCCAAAGGGGACAGCTATATCTAGGGGGTATTACCCGAGGCTCTCCGCTGGTTGTTTTAGAAGTGATGAAGCCTCTATTAATGAGATGCAAAACGTCTTCACAAACCTGGTGAAAGTGAATGTCAGAAAATGCACAGGAAAAGCTACAGTGTGCTGGTTTAAGCTGTGAAACACCTGCTACTGTTTAAATGCTGCCTGTGGTCATCAGCCTTCCCAAAGACAAGCCTCCACTGATTCATTTACAGAATCTGCAGGCACCACTATTTCACGTAAGATGTCTGCACACTCTGTTTGCACATTCTGCACTGCATTATTACGCAGATCTGTGAATAATTTAGCATGCATATTGGTCACCACACAGTCCAGTTATGAAGCAGCCTTTTCCCTCAGAAATCATACATGATTCACGGACAGTGTGGAACATCTGGGGGCAAAATTTAGGGAAATGTTTTGAGCAGGCTACAGTTGAGTGAATTAAAGTGTATTTCCAGTGCGTGTACAGTAAAACAAGCACCGGTCTACACGGCATTACGCACGGTGTGTGTCTTGGCCACGGGGCATCCAGAGAAACTTTGAACAAAATTCAAGCCGCCTACCTCTGTCGTCTATGCTGTCATTTATCTTCATCTCTTGGTCCATTTTAAAGCCCTCTGCGTGATTTTCTGTGTTGGGCTGCTGCTGTATAGAGTCCGCCTGCTCGCACCGTCCGTTTACCGCCGTGGGGTCCACAACTACAGCCGGGTCCGGGACAGTGGTGGAGTCTGGCGGTGTGGGCTCTGTCATCTTCTCGGTGGGGGGTCGCGGTTCCATTGAGGCACTCCACAAATGTCTCACCTGGGTGAGAAGCGCAGGCTTGCAAACAGACAGAGACCCAGAGACAGACAAGGAGGGAGGGAGACTTCTCACAGGGTGCCGAGCCAGTTGCGCCAAGTTACATACAATCAGGCGAAATCGTACCGGAAATTAGAAGTTGTACATTTCAAAACAAAAGCCTTTTTTGAACCGTATTGGAGAAAATTTTTTTTGTTTTTTTTTTGGTTTAAAAATAGACAGTAACGTTGAATATTTCATATACTCTTTTATTTGATATCAATTAACTATCATCATGCTATTGTTTTAGACTACAGTCTGCTCCACAAATGATTTGCTACTTTTTGAAGCATCCTTTTTTTTATTTCCTGGCTGTGCTTTTCACTATTTCGACAGCATCTCTGAGGGTAATATTGTACTTTTTTTTACTTCACTTTTTTTTAATATGATAAGTAGCAGTTGCTAGCTACTGTAGCACTTCAGATTAAAGCATTAAAGCCACTGAACCTACGCTATAACACATTGTTATAAACTGACCTATACTGGGGGGATGAAATGGTTAACGTTAACCCGCCCTCGCCTAGAAGCACTTAAATACTGTTTTTCCTTTTTCCTATACATTGGCTACAATAGGCTGTGTAATAATAATATGTAGCTTTAGCCCCTTAGTTTGCTGACATGATTTAACAAGCCATGTTTAGGTAGGTAGTTTTAACCGAGCAACAGTAGGTATTTGCTAATTAATTCAGCCTTATAAGTTAGTTCCCAAACAAGAGATGAGATTTATTTCGAAAGTGTTTGCCGGAAGTGGTTTGTGTCAGAGCTGACACACTTGACAGAAAGATGTTGCGCACAGTCTGGACGAGACGTAGGAGACGGAATATTCACATCAGGCTCCGATTCGCGACTTTGTGACAGATAGCCGCACCTGGACTCTAATTACTAGTCTAGTGGAGGTCACGAGACCAGTGCTCGTGCTGCAGCTCAAAAGTGCACTTACCGCCGCGCTCTGCACTGCGCGTTCGCGAGGAAAACATCTGTCCCATGTGGATTCAACGAGCTGACGGATGTGAGCGCGTGCAGATAGTGGTGCCCCTGTCACACACCTGTTACGTACACTACATAGAAAAGAAAATAATAACACAAGCTTACTTTTCCATATGGATTTTTTTATTTGTAACCGAGAACTGGGAAAAGAATGTGCGTATTTATATATTCATATTCAAAATGATAACGGGAATGCCTCTAATGCGTTCATGCTCAGGAAAAAGCAGAAATATGTAATACAATATGTTTATAGAGCAGTTCCCACCGTATGAGCTCTTTCGGCCACTCACACATAAGAAATATTTAGGTATGGGTCAGAAGAAGTCAGTTTAGCCTGTTTGTGTAAGATTGGATTTCACATTTAACTTAAGTAGAAATATAATCATCAACTACATATTCTCGTCAGGGTAATCTGACCACTAAGTACTTGTTTGCCATTGTGAATGTGTGACAATCATGGTGACATTTTTCTTTAGCAACCACTGGCTCTTAAATAAATAGTTATTTTACTTTCATTGAAATTATTTTTCTTTTTGATTAGTTTTGATCTTATCAAGATGTTTGTTTGGTCATACTTTCTTTTATTTTATTGAACTTATTTAACATATAGGCTATTGCGAGTTTAGCACATGTACAACATAAAAGACTTATTATAGTAAAGTTGTTGGACTTTTATTTTGAAAGAAAAAAAGAATCGCTGCAGCATGTTTGGATGAACATTGCAGTTTTATCTATTTGTTTTTATTTTTGTTAACTTTTTACTAAAACAAGACTATGCATTCTGTGAGCTAAATGCTATTCCTAACAATATTTGTAAATCTATTAATATTTCCATTTTTATTATATCTTTCTCTCAGTCTAATCTGCTTAACTAACATCAACGATATAACCTATTTAAGTTGACAGAAGAGTCAACACGCCTGAGCTTTCAGTTCTATCTCTTGGTCTCTGCTTCCCTTTAGTGGAGTATGTAGAGTAATACAGCTTGTGTTCTACTGAGTGTGATATA